CCCAGAGCTGGGACAGCTGAGCTTGTCCGCAGCGTGGTCCCCCTCCCCCAGGAAGCCATGAGGCCTTTCTCTCCTGTCTCACGCCCCACACCTCCCCGTGGCATGCCACTGTGTACAGGTGGTTTCTCTGAACCCTTTAGAAACACACCTCTGTGTATTAATACAGAATTTGCTGTTTGATGTTTATCTACTTTCTGCTTTGAGGCAATGGCTGAGCCAAAATGGAAAAGGGAGGGGAAAAAAATGACTAAGTGACATTTGCCCCCTGCATCTTGTAAACCCATGCTCCTGGAAGCAGCTTCTCCACCTCGGCACTCTTGCCATGTGAGCCGAACACTTAATTCTGAGTTGTAGGGCTAGATCTATGCCTCATAAGCCATTTAGCTCCAGGCCTGGCCTCTTCCACTAGATGCCTGACAGTCTGTAGCCAGTTATGACAGAAACATCACTGTAAGTTGCTGCCTGCTCCCTTAAGAGCCAGCTCAGACCCCCGATTAGAGCCACTGCTGGAAAACACAGTCATAACTTTTTATATTGTGTGTTACCTATTTTGTTGTTGCTGAAATTGAAATAAGTTTATCAATTTCTGGATTTTTTTAATTAAATAGGGGTCCTCAGCCCCTCCCTGCTGAATAATTATATCTACAGTATGATGGTTTATAGACCTACATTTAACATTTCTTTTGGGCTTTAAAACAACATAAAATTACTTCTTCCCTGAAGGTTAAATTAGCCACCGTGATTATACATTCCCTTTGTTCAGAAACTTGACTTGCCTACTCAAAACATTTAAGGATCAGTTTTGCCTAGCGTTATTTTTTTCTTTAGAAATCATGTTGATTATGTGTGAATCGCCCATCTTTCTACAGTCTCCTCAATGAGTTTATACAATGAGTCTAGGGTAGGAGACAGATGTGGGAGTAAAAATATTTCTCCTTAACCACAGGAAGGAGTTTTTACAGTGCCTTTTAGCAGCGGATGCCCAGGGCACCTCACCCAGCAGGAAGCAGAGGGAACTCTCTTGTTAAGTGGGAAAGTGGCATTTTATTCTAACTAAATCCTTTTGTAAAATTCCCCTCCTAGAAGAGATGATCCAAGTGATGGGCAATTTCTTTAAAATACTCATATGCCTTGCTGTAGGAGAAGGCCCTTTAGGAGAAACATGTTTAAAATTAACAAATGCCTTGGGATACAAAAATTTTTATACATTTATGTTCATTGGTGGTGGGATGGGCTTTTGATTATAGAATTAGGGATGTTTTATTGCGTAGTAGTAAGTATTTTCATTGGTGATCAGAACACATCGTATTGTGCAAACATGGGTTTTGACAAAGCTGAAAGATTCTAGATAGACTCGTTACAGCCGCCAGAAGATCTAGGGAATGAAGGAGGATGTACCATTTATTTTATAGAAGTCTTGAAAACTATTCATGGATTGAATTTCAGTTGTTAAAGGGGGGGATGGTAATACAGTCAAGCAGTTATTTTTGTCAACTTTTCTCACTAAAAGCAATCAACAGTGATAGGAGTCACATACTCTGAGCTTTAAACAACTTTATGTCACACTCTACCTCTTTGTGTCACACCCTGTTGCTTTCTCCATTAATGACTGAGTAATTGAATGTGTCTTGACTGCCAGCATCTTTTTTTATTACTCAGGTAACATTGAGTTTACTGAATTAAATGTCATTTAAAATGATAAGTTGGAAGCTAGTTTGGGGTTATTTTCACATTTTTGAAAGAAAAAAGTTCACAAGATACCAGTGTTCTTTAAGTTTATAGATAAAGTGTAATTTCTGTTGAGCTCTGCCCTTCATTTTCAATCCAAAGATACCCTTTGAGGTCCCAGGTCTGTACCTCTAGGGAGGCAACATGGTTCCTTGTGCCGAGGGAGCCTTTACTTAGAAAAATGGTGTGGTTGGCATTTCAACTGCTTTTTGAGCAATAGAATGTACTATGACAGTAAAAACAGATTTTAAAAAAAAAAAAGGAGTGTGAAACCTTTGCATTTAGGGATAGCTGCTTTCAGCTCATAGTCGGCCTCAAGATGGTTTATATTAAATAAAGTTTATTATGGGCACGTGAGAGAACCTCACTCCCATTTCAAAGGAATCCAAAGGTGTCCTTCTCCTCTTTGCAGTGGATTCGATAGTAACCTTACAGAGCGACAAAGGAAGGGTTGTATGTAACCCACTTTTATTCTTCCTGATTTACTGCATGACTACATTTGGTTTTGTCAGATCTTTCCAGCTGAGAGAGATGAAAAACTGGAGTGTATTTACTACTTGATGAACCAAAACTGGGCAGTTCAAACCATAGCTTAGTTTTTTTTTTTTTTTTTTTTCTACAGTAAAATATTTCTAAAAATTAACATAAATGGTTAGTTACAATTCATAGCTTAGTTCTTATCTTCGTCCACTCCAACTGCTGTAACAAAGTACCATAGACTGGGTAAATTATAAACAGCAGAAATTCATTTCTCAGAGTTCTGTAGATTGTCTCTCTGCTGAGGACCCACTTTCTAGTTCACAGACTGCACCTTCCTGCTGTCTCTTCACGTGATGGCTGGGTGAGGGATCTCTTGGGACTCCTATAAAAGGGCATTTGTCCCACTCTTGCAGGTAGAGCCTCCAAGAGCCAAAGGCTGGGGCTGTTGGGGTAGGAGGCATAACATTCACATTTCTTCATGCTTTCTGGTGCTTAGGTTGGTATTCTCCTCTTTCCCTCCACTACAGCCTGCCCTCTGGCAATAAGGAACAAGGCTTCTGGAAAGGAAGGAAGTACTGGGCCAGTTTCTAAAGAAATTCAGACTCCAGGGCTAGAATGTCGCTGTTTCAAGGATATCACTTGTATTTTTTCCAAAACGCAATAAATCCCCCACCATACTAAATTTTAGACACAGATACACCCACCCACCCACCCCCCAAAAAAAAAACACCAAAAAATGTTAAAGATTTAGAGTCATTGTAAGCTTATAGTTCCTTGTAGGATTAGTTCTCTGCCATTCCTTCTGCCAGAGAAAATGCTGGAAAAGGTACACTAAGAAAAGTTCAATTTGGGCCGGGAAGATGGTTCAGTGGAATAAGCACTTCCCTGGCAAGCACAAGGGCCTGAGTTCAATCCCCAGTTCCACAAAAAAAAAAAAAAAAAAAAAAAAAGTTCAACTTTGCTCTAAAAAGTACTAAGATTTTACAAATATATTCCCATTGACCAGTTTATCTGAGAGTAGAAATCCCAGTAGGGACTATGGTGTGACACAGACTGAGGAATCACATAGAGCCCAGAATCCATCGTGTGTCACAGCTACGCCCTGAAGTGACTGCGTTACCCAATCCTACCCCGGCTCCCTGGTGTATTAAATAAAAATAGCAACAGCCTCTGCCTCCTGGGGGCATAATAAGTGTAACCATGCGTACAGACTATGTAGATAGTGTCTGCAAGCAGAACCCAATAAATGCCGTTAATATTTTTATGACTTTCTTTCCATTCGCATTAGCACCAATACAATAATCCTATAAAGTTAAAGTGTTGTAATTCTCACTTCATAAATGAAGAAATAGACTCTCGGGGAGATTAAGAAACTTGCCCAAAGTTGTCTGACAGAATTCTCCTTGTGAATAGACTCCAAAGAACGGTGTACTTTCCCTGGGATGGGAACATGCTGGCTATAAAACATACCAAGTCTCAGCTGGACATGCCCTACCCAGGGGTGCCAAGCCCAGACCTTACACACTGAAAGAGACAGTGCATTGTAGTACAGAAGCCTAGAGTCCCAGTCCAGGGACTTTGGGCAGGTTCTCATTACCTCTCTGAGGACTGCAATAATACACATAAACTGTCAATCCCAGACTTGGCATTTGGTCAGGGATCTTGCATTGACAACCATTTTGGCCAGCACCTACCCCCCAAACAGGCACTCCAGTTGCTAAGCTTGCCTAAGCAGGCGCTTTAGTCCACTGAGCCAGGTCCCTGGCCCACAATGTATTTTTCACTTGCCTCTTATGTATGTCTCTCTCCACTTGCCCACCTAGCAAGGATCTTTTGGAAGGCAGACTCCATAAAATCCACACAGCAGTAGAACAAGAGGAAGGTGTACATCCAGTGTTAGTCAGTCATTGGTTAATTGTGACAGGATCTCACTGAGTCATCCCGGTTGGTCTTGAACTCATTGTGTGCCAGGGTGGCCTCACTCCCGAGTTCTGGGTTTACAGATGTGTACCACCACACCCGGCTGTGTGGTTCTCCTTTAATATACCAATCCACAGCCAAAACCTGGGTTTAGTACAATACCAGGACCATACCTAATCACTGAATAAATATTTACTGCCTGAGTATGTAATCAAACATCATTTCTGCAAATGGAGTAAGTGATTTTTTGGACCTGGTTCCCTTCTACTGGGATTCCATTATACTAAAACAATTTTAAAACCTTCCAAAGTATGATATAATGAGAATATCAGTATTTTTTGGAAAGCCACCCTGGCCACAGTTCCCACAGTCAGCATCACCAAGCCATGTAGCTTTTCTTCAGTGATGGTGTTTTGCTCGTTCTCCATCTTCAGCCTTCCCCATCCTCTTATCTCCATCCATTTGGTGTCTCCCCAGTATTGTTAGTTCACCACTCTGTTTGGGACTTTGAGACATCTTTTTCATCCTTTATCTTCCCAGTGTGCTGCAGGTCACTGCCAAAGCCAAGACAGGCACAGGTAGAACTTTGCCCCCTGTCTTTCAGATGGACTCTGTTCTAATGTTGGTCATGACTATGGACAAGCGTTTTCTGAGTCACTGTGTTCTCATCTGTAGAGGGAAGCAGCCATCCTGGACATTGGCTAAGCCCACTCAGGTCAAAGGTCACACTCCCACGTGACTGCACGAGCTCTCCACACACCTTCGTTTCCTTCAGGAAGCAAGAGCAGTTAGTGGATGCGTCTCAAGCCTTGGGCTCAGGGTCTCAACTAGAAATATTTTCACCATTGTGTTTCCTCTCTTTTCCCCTGTAGACTGTAGACTTCTTTGGGACTACGTCTATCAGTTGCTTTCTGACAGCCGGTACGAAAACTTCATCCGATGGGAGGACAAGGAATCCAAAATTTTCCGGATAGTGGATCCCAATGGACTGGCTCGGCTGTGGGGAAACCATAAGGTAAAAGGGCACCGGATTCTTGCTCTGTAAACCAGTGCCCAGTTGGAGTCTCTGTCCCTGCAGCAAAGGCTCAGCGCTCTGCTTCACAAGTCTGCCCATAGTTATGCAGTTGACTCCTCACTGGGCAAATAGTTAAAATATGCCACTTTCCACGAGCCACTTCTGCCAGGGGCCATGACCCTGGCACATCCCAGTCTGACAAGCTGCATTGGAAGTGCCACTCCCCTCCACCTGGGGCTGCCACCCCACTGCCGTTAGGAACTGGGTTACAGGGACGTACTGTGAGCTCGATGACTCACAGGGGACCTTTGGGAAGTTGTCACTTCTGTCCTGCTCAGTTTGGAAACTCCCATGTTTACCAAAACTCATTTCTACAAGGAAAATACTTGTGTCCTGACTAGAAAACATCCCCTTCACAAGCACACAGTATGAGAATTTTGGTTGCCCCTGCCCCCCTCCAGGTTTCCAGACTAGGAGGAGGAACTAGAGTTTAAAACATGAAGTCCTCCATGGTAAGGAAGTCTGTTGAAAGGTGTACATATAGAAGTGGAGGGCATGATCCAGGTCAGATGACAGAGGAGCAGCACAACTGGGGCCTCCCTGGGAGAGAGCACAGGGCCCAGCCCAGCTCTGTTAGGGCCTCCAGCCTCCTGAGGCAGCTGCCCGTGCCCTGGCCTGGGTGCGGAGGACTTGATGCCGGCCATGACCAAATATGGCAAGGCCGCTCTGACAGGCACGTCAGTGTGAGTCACTGAGAACTCTCCGCAACCCTCACATCAAGCCCAAGCCCAGGCTCGGCACCACTGTATTCCTGCTGCCTCAAGAGGCATCTGAACGATTAAAAACTAAAATGACAGAGCAGAAACAAGTCTGAGAGACGTCACTGGAACCAAAAATGAACTTCTGTATGGCTCAGGAGGTGAAGGGTGATCTACAGATGGAGGGGAGCCCGCAGGAAATGGCCCAGGCATGGCAGTCAGTCTTGGGAAACAAGGGCCATTGCTGGGGGATGATGTTTATTAGCTGGAGTCCCAAGGCTTCTTACAAAGGAGGTCCACGAATTCGGGCAGAATCCCCAGCCCTGACGTACATGAGAGCAAAAGGGGAGGACGAAGGGCTGCAGATGAGCACGAGATGCTCCACACCAGGAAGGCCACGTGGGCATCTGAAGAGCTTTGATTTTTAATAGCTGTCCCAGTGCCTTGTCTAAGGTTCATTTCATTGTGTCTTTGTGCTTTTTTTTTTCCTCTCTCTCTCTTCCTCCTTCAAACAAACAGAACAGAACAAACATGACCTATGAGAAAATGTCCAGAGCCCTGCGCCACTACTACAAACTAAACATTATCAGGAAGGAGCCCGGACAAAGGCTTTTGTTCAGGTAGCACTTACTTTTTCTCCTTTCTTTCATTTGGGAGGATATTTTCTTTAAATAAGGGGGAGGAGGGATACTACCATGATCTCTACCTGCCTGTCTGATAACATTATGGCAAATATTACAAATGCTGGTTTGTTAAGGCTTAAGAAAAAAATTATTCTGTAGTAAATTACATCTGTCCTGTAGTAAAATTAAAAACTAATTAAACACAGTCTAACTCACTTATAAAACAATGTAATGAGCAGATAGAATCTGGCATTGAAGTCCAAATTCTAAGGGCTCAGTCAGAATAGCCGTTTGCAGTGGCAAAGCAAGGAACTAAACCTGGACTTCCAGGTCACCAGCCCTTTGGGCTACTTTCTCAAGCAGCTTTTGTCAAACTGTACATAATGACCCGCGTGGACTCAGGAAACAAATATAATGGGGTTGGACACAACTTTTTTTTTTTTTTTAAATAGAGAATAGAGTTGAAAATATCAGAATATATTACATAATAAGAGGGACAGATGATTCATGAAGATTTTGTTTCAGAGGTGGGTGGGGAAGTGTCTGTGTGCGTGTACACATGCGCGTGTGATGTGTTACGCAGATGTGTTTCTTGTCATTCATCATAGTCAGAAAAGTGTCAGCTACTATATCAGATATTCTTCTTTCCAGATTTTTTCACAGTGAATGAACTCAAACTATTTAACCTGTTACATAGATTGTGATTCTAAGAACTAGACAAGAAGACGTCTAAAGAGCATTTAGGAAAGGCAGAAATGGACCCTAACAGGATTAGTAATTGCTGTGCTAAGACCAAGTACAGGTTGGGAAAAGGTGACAGGAGCAAGCACGACTGCAGGTTGTGGGACAGAAAAGAGTGATAAGTGGGACAGAAAAGAGTGATAAATGGGTCTGGAGATGGGGCCCTGGAATTGTGTATATAGTTAATAAGAGGCACCGTGCAGAAAATGACACGCATGAGCTGAGCAGCTCACTGGGATGGTGGTGTTTGTTAGCAAAAGCAGAAAACCTGGACCTTAGCACTGGGATGGAGAGATAGCTGTGGAATAGTAAAGAGAATCGCAGTCTTCAAAAGAAACAGAAAAGGCTTTTCAAGAAATCAAAACAGGATGGAATACAAAAAGTACCCTCTCACCTCTGACTCTGTAGATACTTTCTCTTCATCCTTCACTCTAAAATTATTTCTTGGTTCTTTGTTGTACTTCACTCCCCCCCCCCCAATGAGTGGATCCTTTACACAACGTCATTTGTCACCCCTGTGATTGTATTCTAAAATCCAACTCTAAAATTCTCCCTGCAATTCCAAATTTAAATTTCTAAGAGTTTCTGTAGGAAGTTGCCACTTAAATATCACATTAATAATTTGAGCATGAAACTTTCCAAGACAGACACCTCTTCACCTATTAAAAACTCTATGAAGAATTCTTGTTAGTCATCCACGGCATCATCACTTTTTTAGGCAATCTTGAAACTAGGATTACTTTTGGTCCCTCTTACACCCCAGTCAGGTGCTGTGCTGGCCTGGCCCTTGGCTGGCCATCACCATTCCCATTTCCTTCTGGGTTGCAGGTGCTAGAAGCCTGGCAACTACATTTCCCAGGATTTGTTTCCAGAGGGTTCCAGGGTGAGGTCTGTAAAAGCACGTTCAAGAGATTTGGAAGGTAGAGGAAAGGCAAAATCATTGTTAGTGCTTCCTTAGCATGTCAATAACCTACATCAGGCCCCACCCCCTCCAGAGCGCTGAGACGGAGATTGAGACTAGGTGTGGTGGTGCACGCCTATAATCCCAGTGCTTGGGAGGCTATAAACAGGAGGATCACCAAGAGTCCGATCTACGTAGTAAGACCCTGTGGACCCTGTACTAAATACATAAAAAATAAAAAATAACCTACATTAGGATTCATTCAAAATCTCTATCCTCAGTCCATCCCTCTGCCTTCCCTAGAATACATTTCTGGCAACCCTGCAACACTAATACAATTGCCTTTTCCAGGTGTACCTGTACCTTTGATAGATACACTAAGCCTTTATAGACAACTTTAGTTCTGTTACCCTGTTTGAGACCCTCTGAGCCCTTACACACAGATGCCACCTTCTGTCATCTCCTGAATTTCCTTAGCCCTTCCCCACACCATTAGTGGTACTTTTAATAGTCCTATACATGAAGCCCTCCCCACAAGTAGATCATAAGCTCCTAGAAGATAGAGAATTATACCTTATCTGTTTTATACCATAGAGAGGGTTTCAATAAATGTTTACAGCATGCCTAACAGAACACCCCAGTAGGCAAGCCAACGATTATAAGCCCATGCTGGCGAACCTTTCAGAACTTTCAGTAATCCAAACAGCCCAGCGCAGCACACATGCCATAGGTTTGCCCCCACTATCATAGACTTCTGACTAGGAGAGAAAATGTGTATTTCAAGTTAGTTCACTGGTGCAAAGTGAAGCACATGAAAAGGGAAGGTATGTAGACAGGAGGTGGACAGGCCATGTGCAATCAGGCTGCCTTCCTGAACTGTGCAAATCATGGTCAAAACAGGTTCACTGTCCCAATGAACCCTCTGAGCAAGGCTTGCTGTGTGACAAGCTGCAAAGGCCAGAAGCCACGCTGACCAGGATGTGTCGCCAGCATCTTAGATGGAGCAGAGTTTAAGCTCACAAAGATCCTCTTTCCTTTGGCCTTCCTGATTTTCTAAAAGCTCCACTAACTTGCCCAATCATGTTTTCCATTTAACACCTCAGTATATTCTTTACATTAAATTCAAGTTTTTGAATGACTATCGAGTCACTGGCTGCCGGTCTAGAATGGCAGTGGATCCTCAGCTCTCACAGGTGTTTATAAAGTCAAACTCTCCAAAAATAAGAAAGAGAGAGATGCGAAGAAAGAGAGATGTGAGCTGTACTCTGGTTTCCTCGTCCACTCCTGCACTACTGTCCCCACCTAGCTCCAAAGGAGCGCCCTCCCTTGGAGTCACCCAAGACTTTTTGTAGTCATTTTGCCATTTTTGAGGCAGTCAGAGGAAGGCCTCCCTTATACCAGTTTTAAGGCAGCATAAATGTGTGGGCTTAGTAGCTTTCCAGCTCTGTAATACACAATCTTTTCACTCCATTTCATCTTCCCAAGGTTTATGAAGACCCCAGATGAAATCATGAGTGGCCGGACAGACCGTCTAGAGCACCTTGAGTCCCAGGAGCTGGATGAACAAATATACCAAGAAGATGAATGCTGAGGGAACCGCCAGGCCCCTCTGCAGCGGGCCAGCAGCAGGAGAACCTGCCCACCAGGACTACCGGAGGCGTGGTGCAGCAGGCGGGCTGAGGGCAGCTGCAGGAAGACGCAGAATGGCAGGAACGCTTCTCTTGCGGACCAAGAGGGACCCCAGAGCACCTTAGACAAAGCACCCAGCAGTGGCAGGGGCACAAGCCCGGGACTAGCATTTCACATTTCCTTCACCTTTGGAATCCACCTGTAATCCTTCATCCACGCCCTCCCAAGTCTGTTGTTAGTCTCATGGTTGTTTTTTGTTTTTAGAAACATGCAGTTTGACTTTTCATCATTCATATAGGGAAAGACATCCAATGTTGTTTTCCTATGGAAATGTATATCTATTATATATCTATTTTTGCAAATCTCGCAGAGTATGGCCAGCCCAGCTTGTCAGGAAAGAGAATACTTGCAGAAAAGATCAGGTGCCACTTTTTCCTGCCATATGGGTCAGGTTTGTCCCTGTTGCAGTTGGGTCTTGGCTGAAAAAAGAAAAAAAAATGCTTTTAAAACTGGTCACATTCAGGAGAACTCTTTTTTCTCTTTCACTCTCCTCTCCCCTGGCTCCCTGTGTCCTGCCTCCCTGCCTGCTGTTACACTTCACATGCCTTTCTGCAGAGCCTTGGGGACTCTCCAGAGCCTCCCAAGAGCTTGGGGATTGTTGACATCTAAACAGAATCAGTGACCTGGGTGCTTTGTGACCAGCAGCACAGAGCTCAGCCCCCGTTCTGGCACACAGCCACCCGTCTGAGGGAGGCCAGAACACTCCAGGTGCTGCTGTACTCCGAAAAGATAAGTGCCAGTCTCACGCACCATCTCTGAGACGGCTGCGAGAAGCACGCAGCTAAGGCGCAAGATAAGACAGAGGCTGTCCAAGTTATTTGGAAGGGCCCAGCATCTCAAGATTAGCTTGCAAGTGCTGCAGAGTGGAAAATACGAAAAGACCACACAGGCTTGGTGGTCCAGAGCCTGCACAAAAATGTTCCGCAGTGGGAAATTTATTTTTCTGAAACAAGTCATTGAAAATAGTGAGAAAGAAAAGCTCCTCTTGCTCCATTCCAAGGGCCATCTTGTGGTCAGTTACATGCCCTCAATGAATTTCTTTTTTCCAATTCTGAGTCTTTTTCAAAATTCCCTGGTCTCCACTGAACATTTGTGAAGGGAGGATCCTGGCAGGCAGTCCCAGATGCAACCAGTGTTTGCCCAGCCTGGGCAAACAGGAAATTCCTCCGATCCATTATGTTTTCCTTCCTTCGTTGCTGTATTTCAGAAAGGAGTCATTTGTGGCTCTTTTTCACCTCAAAAATAAGGTTGGTGGTGTCCTGTAAAAAACGGGCAGTGCCACTCTTCAGGACTTTTAATGATAACAGGTATTTTCTGAGAAATGGTTTAGATTCTCTTTCCTTCTCTGGCCATCTATATTGACTTCCCATGCAGACAGGCTCAGGCATCAAGTATTTGGAGTACAGACTTTTATAGTTCATAAGATGAGGCCTGCCTTACAGATCACCTCCCTCCTGTTCCTTTGTTTCCACTGCTTGGCTAGGCGAGCACCTCCAGCTCTCTGGGACACATGCATGCTCTGCCACTAGCAGATCACAGGAGAACAGATCCCCAAGCTTGTAATCCCACCATTTCTGAGTTGAGTCATGCACACAGAGGTTGGGGGCACACAGGCAAGAGGACTCCTTCCTGGGCCTTACATGGGCACCAGCCCATGGGGCAAGTAACTGGACTATGGTTCCAAGATGCTGGGATTGAGCAGGTTAGGTTCCTCTAGGTTTGCTATGTCTCTGTCTCTTACCAGACCATGGATAGACAGCCTACTCTTTCAGTCACATGCTTCTGCCCTCTGGGAAGTCAGGGACCTTCTGCATGGCTCAAGGGCCTCTTCATGAAGCTCTGGTCGCATCTGCTTGAATGGTGATGCAAACCAGCCTGTTGCCGATGGCTTTCAAGAGAGTTCAGGTGATAACGTTTATCAACCTCTAAGACGACTGATACTGCATCTCAAACAGATTAATCCCCTCCCTCCCCCCTCCAAAAAAAAAACTGGTATCTTATGAAAGTAACTGAATTTAAGAGCTGGAGAGAAAGAGTGGATTATCTTATTCATATAAGGCCCTTTATACGAATATGAAATCAAAGACCAGGGTGCTGCTCTTCTCTGAGATTAGGTCATCTCATTCTAGCCAGTTTACCCAAACATAAGAACTCAGTCTACTAATGTTCAGAGAGTCTTACAGATGAATTATGGAGGGAAATTCACTTTGGCCCAAGGATCTCTACATTTTTTTGGAATGTCTAGTGAGAATGTGTAAGACTTACGTTAGCATGTGCAGCTACTTCAAGTAGATTTTAATTCCAGTGTAGTAGTTATTTCCCATTCAGATATTATCAATTCTGATTTTCAGACATCCTCCTGATGCAAACAACCTCCTCCATTGCCTCTTTAAAAGAACAACTCCCCTCAGCACCCATCCCAGAAGTATAGTTATTTACCTGCTACAGAACATGAAGGTTTCAGATTTGGTTGGTCAAACCTGGAGGAAGCACCTATCAAAATAAAGCAGGCATAATTCCTGTCCTCTAAAAGTTTATAATTTATCTGTAGGATCCACCATCATGATATTTCTCAGTCCAACTCTAAATGCTAGAAGTGATAAAAAATTTTACCTGGGACCAAATTACAGTTTCATATCTCATCTGAATAGTTGGCTTTTCTCTATTGCCACCATGGGAATTCTTAGCTCACTAAATCTGAAGGCAGAAAAAGAAAATGCAGACAAGTACTGCTAGCTGAAAGGTAGGCACCATCACTTGGGTCTTGGTCTGTGTCTCGAGTTAGCGGGGCTGTCTCATCTCCATCAGAAGAAAGCCTGGTAGCTGACTAGAGGGCTGAGTTAAAGGTAACACTGTCACTTACCCTGATCTTCATCCAGGGCAACTTAGTGTTGTGTAAGCCAGAATGACCAATGCTCAAATTTCTTGGAAAAGAAAAGTAACAAATAGATTTTTCTCCTTCACTGTGTTTCAAAGCCTCTGATCCAATGCCTTGCCTAAATGAGAATGTCACTTTCATTGACATCTGAAAAACTAACATAGTTTACCAAAATGACGATGTAACCACTGGATCCACCTTCAGCACCTAGGGTCCAGTCCTCACAACAGTTTTGAAATACCTATTGCCTTCTGCAGAAGGAGACCCTAAGTGTCAGAGAGGTAGTACTGCTCATCCTGGGAGCAAACCGCATAGTGGAATTAGGATTAGGGTCCAACACAGCCACAGCCCCCATGTAACCCATTCTTTCCTAGGGAACCTGAAGATAAGAGATTGGGAAAGACAACAAAGGGCAGCTTTCTTTGCCTAAGCATTCGGTGCTACTTAGGACCTATTTGTTCACTCAGCCAGCTCCTCTCTGAGCAGAAACTTGGAAGAGAGAGTGATGGAAGCCAGTGGGGTGGGGAAGGGAAGGGACACCCAGTAATCCCTGCCTGCCTACAAACCACAGAAGACTAACCTGATACTGTTTTGGCCCCATCTGTATCAACACTAAGCAACTGCAAACTCCCTGAACCTTCCGTACTCGCCAAGGGAACATTCTTGAAGGTCTCTCTTTGTGACTGAACACACCTGCAAATCAGAACGAATCTAGTTTTGGGTTTTTTGGGTTGTTTTGTTTTTTTGGTTTTTTTGTTTTGTTTTGTTTTTTTGTTTAGTTTTTAATCTCTTTGTTTATGAGGTGTGGGGTTTATAAGGGACTGAATCAAATGAATGTAACAAAAAAGGAAAAAAAAAAAAACAAGCCTTTTCTCAGGGCCAGTGAGTTGCAAATAATTTTTAAAGAAAAGCCTATAATTACATCATCTCAATAAATTTTTTTATAAAAAAAAGTTCCATGTCTCTTTTCATGATGTGAAATGCAGTTACACAGGCAAGGTGGGCCAAGAGCTGAATTCTTTCTCCACTCAAGGTCTAAATCATGGTCATGCGTCACCGCTGGCAAGAAGGCTCATGCCAGCCATGTGTCACTAGGAAGTTCCAAGTAGACCACTCAAATCTGAGCAGCAACCATAGGTGGAAATTTTTGCTAACGGGAACCCAAATCAGAGCCCAGGGGTCTGCATTGTAGCGAGGATGGATTAGTTCCCGGAGGGACATAAGTGATACTAGAACCTCAGGTCTTCGCATAACACAGTTCTCCTTTTTGGAGTCTGAGCCTATAAGGAAGTAAGGGCATAACTGAGGCTATGGCCATGACCAAACCTGGGACCATACCTGCCTGGAAGTCGTCACAGTTCAAGCCAGTCACAAGTGTCTCAGCCACACTGGCCAATGGAGCCAACTACCAACCAGTGGGCACTTAGAATTTCACCATCAGACTTTCTGCAGTCAGAATTCTCTATTTTCCATCAGAGGCAGGTAGAATCAAGTACTGTAGAATGGAAAACGAAGGCAAATCACGTTGCTTTTTAGCAATTCTTATGTAGATTTGAAATACAGGAGTTTGAAATCAGTGTTTTGTGGAGCCAGGGCCCTAGCTCACTGGTAGAGCACTTGCCTAGCATGTGCAAGGACCTGGGTTCCACCCCATACTGAAAGAAAGAAGAAAAGAGAGCCAGCCAGATAGCTCAGCAGATTAAAGTACCTGCTTAGGCAGACACAGGGCACAGGTGTGTAGGGGGGATCCCCTGCCTGCTGGCCTGGCCTTGCCCCCAGGGCACACTGAGATAGCAATGGACACTAGGCTTGGTGTCACCCATAATCCCAGCACTTGGGAGGCTGAAAAACAGGAAGGATCACTACAAGTCTGATCTGTGTAGTGAGACCCCGTAGACCCTGTAATATATATATATATAT